CAGACCAGACCGTTCAGCTGAATTGTTTAAATCAACGGCATTTGCTGGACGTTCTCTCTTTCTGATGGTCAGAAAAAATTTAGTATAGACAAATACAGCAACAAAAAGGAAAATCAACAAAGACAATGAATAAAAAGTAACCAGCAAGTCAATTCTGACAGTGCATAAAGCAACAAGCGTTAACAGGTGGGAAATTTGTCTGAGCATGCGCGAGTAAAACGAGCCACGCAATTGCGTGGAATACGCGCAAAGCGTGTTTACAAAAAGGCACAATCGTGTAAATATTGCCAAATGTTTGTACAAAATAAATGACTGTTTTATGTTGAAAGAGCAGACATGATCTAAATTAATCATACAGAATTTTTTAGTGACGTTCAATTTCAGTACACTGCCATTGTCTCTAGTGGGCTGTCCGTGTGCATTCGATCTGAAACAGTTGCTACTTTGCTGTCGAAGAATTTCGAATGTTTACATGAAAATAGAGGCAATTATGCATTTTACAACCTCTTAAACTGTATGAGCCCCTATTTTTACGCTTATACCTAAGATATCAAATAAAAGTACATGAATCAGAGAACATTTGTAGAAAGTTTTATCGTGAGGCCACGGACAGTTTTTAAAATATCTTTATTTCTGTTCCGGTCATCACCAAAATTACACAATGCCGGGCTTGAATATACAACAAATTTTGAATCTCATCAAGCACAAAAATACTTAACGTGTAGCCAAAATATGCTCATGAAATCGAAATTAATAGCTAAATTTTCAAACTAGACCCTTCTCGAAGCGGTTTTCATGAAGGAAGTTCACATTTCGGCCTTTGATTCTTGGCAAAAATTTGACCACAACACGTGCGAAGCAACTGGGTCTCAAAGACTGAAATAAAACATTGTGAGCCCCTATTTTCCTGACGATATGTTTGATACCTACAAACGCCGAAAAGTTTTTTCTTTTCATTTAGGTATATTTGAAATTGAGGCCACAGGCTATTTTTAAGAAACTACAGTTCAAAGTCAAGCTATTTTTACATATTTTCAAAATTTGTCAAATTTCGCGAGCTTGTATTTTGAACTTAGACAGCTGAAGTTACATTATGAAACATAGGATGGAAAATTTGAGGCATATAAAGTTAATTTCAACTTACATTTCATTCTCAAATCACGTCTTTCATCGTTTATTACGGTTTTAAACAAGCCATAGATCGACGTATACGGTATTTACTCCCATGTTTACGTCGCCATATTAACTTCTTCCAATCACTCGATTACAAAACAATCATCCCAAAACAAAGAATTCATGATAGACTTTTAAAAGAATAACCAATAATTTGTAAATCGTTGAATGGAAAGCAAAAAATCGTCAGCTAAAACAGCTTCTTGCTAACTTTCTGCTTTGTTTTGAATGTAAATGCAATGAGCTTTCTTTCTGCCCGCAATTTTTTGGTCAGCGACGACAAATTTCCCACCTGTTACAAGCGTTAACATGAATGATGTGCCACAAGCATTAATGTTCGGTTGATTTTAAAGGATGTAAAACACCAAAGTACCTTTCCACTGTCATGGCGAGTAAAGTCGTTACTGATATTAAAGTCGGGAGTGCAGCAAGTCTTTCCAGCAACAATATTTCAGTGCAATGTATAGATCTTGTAGTTGCTATCGTAAAGCTACAGTAAATGGTAAACGAAGGTAAACTAATAAGGCCAACAGTCAAATCAGCAACTGATTTCATCATCAAGAAATAGGAAATGTTCAGTTGGGAGCATTTAAATATGGTGACGACAGATATTCCATTCAGTATTACAGTAGCAATGATCAAGAGCGCATATGTTACAGATATAGCTGTGACATGGTTAATAAACAATACTTGAGATGGAAATTTAACGATGAATTCCTTCTTAGCATTCAATAAAGAACATATTTTAAAAAAGTTTGAACTTTCGTTTACGATACTCGACTGAAGAATCTCCTCAGTTGTGTCTGTGCAAGAGCTGTCTGCAAATTTAGTCGTATATTTGTTAGATGGCTTTCAATATTCTCTAATAAGGGCATCAGCTGTTAATTAAGAACATTGTGAAGTTCTCACGTCTGCACCATGCAATATTGATTTTCCTATTAGTTGAATAAGTTAACAGTGACAGTAAGACGATGATCATAAAAAACAAAACGGCATTGCATTAACTTATATTGTTTCTAAAAAACGTCATTTTAATATCGAATTGAATATAGTTAAGTGCAGGGTATAGAAGGGCCGGGGTTTTGTGCGACTCCGAAAATCAAATGTTTTTCTATATTTCTAGAAAGTATAAAATATGTGTAGAAAACCATTTGCTACAGTATGTTAATAGATTGACAAAATGTCCCACGTGCCTTTTTTCTATGATTTTATACTTGCTAATTATATGCTAATTTATGTTCCGCCATTATTAAAAAATGTTATTTTAATTTACGTTATTTTTAATTAGCTGTTAGTATAGGTAAGAGGATGGTTTCGAGTGCAATTTGGATAAGACATGCACGAACGAGGTTTTCAAAGAGCATCAAAATAGCACGAAAAACTTTGCCTTTGAGAAACTCGCGAGTGCTTGTTTTATCCAAATTCCACGAGAAACCATCCTATTACGTATTAGTAATATACATAAAAATGTTCGAGACTATTGTAGTTTTAACTTACTTTATAGCGAACCGTCCACTGACAAAGTTCTCCTGCTTTGACTTTGTTATATCACATTTACATCGCTAGCGGCTTGAAAATTTCACTCAAATATGTAAGTTTTGCTATTCTTTTTTAAGGTAAAGTCTTTTCCTTTTTTAAAAAAGATAAAATGCCATATTTTCCACCAGAATTCAACTTTTACTTATGTAGCGCGGCCGCCATGTTTGTTTTGTTTTGAAGCAATCTGTGACCATTACTTGACGACTGCTTTAAGCTGATTGGTTGATTTTAGATCCCATTGTTTTTTCCACCAATCACAACAGTTTGTTAATAATAATAATAATAATAATAATAATGATTTATTTTGCAGTCTCTGCACAGTGTAGCTTTACATCTGCAAAAATTAACATTTAAAAATAGAATTATACATAGTATAAGTGAGAGTTTAGCTGAAATAAATAATATACATATTTAAAGGGTAATGGCAATAAAAAAAATTATTGCTTTATCTGAAAGAGCATGAAAAAATATGCCGATTGGCCGTTTACTGCTCTATTCTGTCTCATCTGGTTCCGAAGTTATACGCAAAAATGTGCAAAATATAAATTGCTGATTCAGCAAAACGTGTGACGTCATTGGTAGGGTAAGTATGTTTAATGAATACTAAACTGAAGCATAGCTCAGTTATTATGGGCCCAAATCAAATGAAATTTTGGATACTGATTGTACATGATGAGACGCATTGAAAAACACTTCTAATTTTTTTGCCAAGGTAACAATGTCGTTCCCAGGTCCCTTGCGCCAATTTTATAAAACAGCTTTATTCATGGTACTTATAAGAATAAAATAATGTCCGAAGTATGTGTACCATACCTATGCATGCCAAAAGTTTACTTGCATGATAATAATTCGAAAATGACATACACATAGATAAATGCAACTAGTTATTCAAAATCAGTGTAAGGGGCCTGGGAACGACTGCTTTGCCTTGACAACAAAATTAGAAGTATTTCCCATGCGTCTCATCGTGTACTATCTGTATGCAAAATGTCATTTGATTTGAGCCAATAATAACTGAGCTATGCTTCAGTTTACTATTCATTAAACATACTTACCCTACCAATGACGTAACACGTTGTGCTGAATCAGCAATTTATATTTTGCACATTTTTGCGTATAACTTCGGAACCAGATGAGATAGAATAGAGCTGTAAACGGCCAATCGGCTTATTTTTTCATGCTCTTTCAGATAAAGCAATAAAAAATTGTATTGCCATTACCCTTTAAGTTATATAAAAATCTTATACATGCAATAAAAGGTTTAAAAGTATATAAAAATATTATTGAAGTGTATAATGAGGTTAAATAGATTTAAGCAAGGTTAACGGCAGATGTATTATGCACGCATGTTGTCTTGCCTTGTTGCAGCAAGTTGCGCTTGTAATTATACGCTTTTCAATTATATGCCTCGCTTAACGAGAAATAGTAGGGATTGTGGCCCCGCGGTTTTACAGTCTGGCGACCACTGTGGGGATAATTCTGATGCGTCAATTCGACTGCCACGATGTCTCGTATAAGTTCGATAACAACTGTTTCGTCGAGAGCGGGTAGTGTGCCGACATTGCATGTTAACCAGGGATATTGTGACAGACGTGGTTCAGGCGTTACAGGGCCAAATCAGCTACTTGGTGGAAAACGCAATTGACGCTTGGTTATCGTCCACGTCGGATGCAAATAGACCACCGGACGGTTCGCAATATCTGGACCCTGATTTCCTACCTAAATTTCAAGATATGTCCACTGCAACCTCGGAGGGGAAGGAAATTAAGCACCACTAATCAATAAGAAAGTCAGGGGTAGAGGATCGCAACACCATGAATAACCAGTAAAATTAAGTACAGCATGAGGGAAAGAGATCATTTTCTTACTAAAGCAACGGATCGAGTAAGTCTGAATTGGATTGGAGTAAATATCGAAATTTACGAAATACGGTTACGCGAGAAATACGAAAAGCAAATGGCCGGTATACTATAGAGACCTATTGGAGGAAAATCTTGACAATCCAAGTAAATTCTGGAAAGCCGTCAAAATGTTGTCCCAAACGAAAAGTTACCACCACCCAAATTAATTGCGATGGTAAACTAACGGAAGACAAATACACAGCAGCTAACGCTTTCTGTAATTTCTTTTGCAACCTGGCCAAACGAATGACTAACGACTTAAACGATTTTTCCTTTACTCTAAATAATACTGTTCACCATGCCAGACCTATATGAATGCATTTAATTTTAGTCCGGTGCTTCCCTCGTCTGTATTGTGCCATCTTATTAATTTAAATCGATTAAAGTATGCAAATCCAGTGGAATTATTGGAACGGTATCCCAGCAAAATTACTAAGAGACGCTGCATCAGAAATATCTGTTTCCCTGACTGGTCTTATTAATCTATCATTATTTCTTGGGAACATCCCAGATGAATGGAAAGTAGCGAAGGTGATACCTATTTACAAGTCCGGAGCGCATGATAATCCGGAGAATTATCGACCTATTTCCATCCTTCCAGTCCTTTCAAAGATCTTGGAAAGGGAAGTGCACACTCAGCTCTATAGAGATATTGATATCAATAACGTACTTGCACCATTTCAATGCGGCTTTGGCAAGAACTACTTTTATGAAACAACTGTTACTTATTTTACCGATAAAATTAGAAAAAATGCAGATAGTGTGGGCTTTTAACCAGTGCAATTTTTATTGACATTAAAAAGGCATTCGACACGGTAAACCACGAGAATTTGCTGAGAAAACTACACAGATTTGGTCTGGAAGATAATTAGAGCTTGATTGGTTTGAGAATTACTTGACGTCCCGTACTCAGCGTGTCTCTATCGAAGGTATCTTGTCAAACTTTGGTGAAATTGTAGCTGGTGTACCACAGGGTTCCATATTGGGCCCACTGCTGTTCATAATTTACATCAATGACCTTTCTGTTCTATCAAACTCTGAGATCCTAATGTACGCTGATAATACCGTGATATTCCGTGAGGGTACTGAAGTATGGAAAATTCAACAGGAACTGTTGTAAATAATCTACGTAATATTACGTATAATAGTGTTTATCGCCTCCCTTAAAATTCATTGTACTTTATATGACCCCCCTCCACGGTAATTTGCAGTGCTGATGAGCTCCGTTTTCTGTGATGCGAGAATAAAACACTAAACGCCCATTTGGGAAAAATAATGGCTGTGTGCGTGCGCACACGCCGGTTTTTTTGATAAATAATGTCCAATAAATTATATTTACATAAATGAAATAACAGATATCACAGAAAAGGTGGGGGCATTTTCCCGCCACCTTGAACATATATATGATAAGTTAGCTAGTAGTGACAGAAGCAGCAGGCGACCGAAAGAGAAATGGGAGGGAAGGGGGGTGCAATCGAAAGACGAAACTGACTTGAGATCTTGCTCCAATGACAGCTTCAGAGGAATGAATCACGCACAGACAACTCGCGCTTATATATGTCCCATGTATTACCATGCGATTGCTTCGTGAAGTAAAATCCCGCAATGTAACAACTTTTCCCTGTGATATTCTGTCGCGTGCGCTAGGTCACTATGTAGCTAAATGCCTATACTATATGTCTAAATAGAACGCGGGAGGCAATAAAATTACTATTCGGCGAGCAAATAGTGCCTTTATAATATACGTAATATACGACTTGGCTGCGCGACCGTGATATTATTATTATTTACATATTTGTGTTCCAATGACTTTCTTAACTCGTCAATATTGTTGCTTTTGGAATGGTTACGTGGACTTGTTTTTATATTATGGACATAAATTTTTGCTAACTCTGGTATAATAGTGTAAATAATCTACGTTTATTTCTCTGCGGTATGGAAAAGACTTGCTGTATTAATAAATTAAGCAACATTTTGCTGTCTGAATAAAGTTTACTTGGTTTTCGTACGATTTAGCAAGTGTTATTTTTCAAAATTAGGTAATTTGTAAGGACAAATAAGGCATTATATGATTAGTACATGATGTTTTCTTATTCCTATAGGTTTAGGTCTTCTAATTGTATTGTATGAGTGGGTTTGGTGTGCAAGCCTTGTAAGGGGACTTAGTGTCCTTTTGCTGTATACCTGCCTTAGGAGTTATGGCAAATTTTTAAAATTAAAATAAAAAATAAAAATAAGTCACAGATAAAGAAAAGACTGATCAGACAGAGAATGGGATGAGATGGTGGGCAGATTAAAAAAAAAAACAATTCCTGGTACACGTATTAGTCAACAGTCAACCTGAAGCTTTACTTGCATGACATTGATCCATTGATGACATGCACTTACTAATTGTTTTAATTTGTTCTATTAATGTTATCCTCGCATTAATGCATCAATGACTGTCCATATAACATTAACTGGTTGTTTTGTAGAATTATGTTCCAGCGACTTTCTTAACTCGGCATATTTTTGTTCCAATGACTTTTGACTCGGCATGGATGCGTCCGTAACGTGTATACTTATGTTCAAATGGCTTTCTTAACTTGGCATGGACGCGTCCATAACATG